TTTCCGAGTGCCACCCTGCGATTTGTGCACTCAAGGATATCAAAGCACCTGGGGTGTCAGAGCTGCCTGGCGCAGTCACACGCTTCCCCTGCTCCTCTCCCTCTCAGCCGCACTGCAGGCAGTGCTGGAGGGAGCGCTTGGGACCAAAGGCCACAAAACCAAACCTGAAGTGGTTTTGCACTGAAGGTGAAATCAGGTTGCAGAGCCTGAAAGCAGCTCCAGTCCCTCCTGGTTGTCCATGCAAGCACAGGACAGCAGGAGCCTGTCCCGGGACAGACGTGGCTGAGGGGGCAGGTGAGCTGCCCCGTAAAGAAAGTCAGCTTAAAACCCCATGCCCAGACCCCCAGGAGCAGCCCGGCCTGGGGACCAGTCCCTGCAGCATCTCTGCTGCTCGCCACAGCACCTCTAAAACCAACTGCAAGAGAAACCCCCGTGTGGACTTTGCTTAAAGACTAGAAACCTCTTGCTACAAGAAAGAACTGGTATTACCAGTACAAATATTATTTATTTTTATTATTGTTTATTATGAATAAACAAGAGGAGTTAGAGATGTGTACAGGCCTGCAGGGCTATGATCTGATTGGCATCACGGAGATGTGGTGGGATGGGTCCTCTGACTGGAGTGCTGAAATGGAAGGATACAGGCTCTTTGGGAAGGACAGGCAGGGGAGACGGGGAGGGGGTGTCGTGCTCTATGTCAATGACCAGCTTCAGTGCACGGAGCTCTGCCTGGGGATGGGTGAAGAGCCAACTGAGAGCTTACGGGTCAGGATTAAAGGGAGGGCAGGAAGAGGTGACATTATAGTGAGGATCTGCTACAGGCCACCTGACCAGGAAGACCAAGCGGATGAGGCCCTCTACAGACAGATAGGAGCAGCCTCACATTCACAAGCCCTGGTCCTCATGGGAGACTTCAACCACCCCAATACCTGTTGGAGGGACAACACAGCAGGGCATAAGCAATCCAGGAGGTTCCTGGAATGCATCTTCTCCAAGTGATAGAGGAGCCAATGAGGAGAGGTGCTATGCTGGACCTTGTTCTCACCAACAAGGAGGGGTTGGTGGGGAATGTGAACTTCAAGGGCAACCTTGGCTGCAGTGACCATGAAATGGCAGAGTTCAAGATTCTTAGGGCACTGAGGAGGGCGCACAGCAAGCTCACTACCCTGGACTTCGGGAGAGCAGACTTTGGCCTCTTCAGGGGTCTGCTTGGTAGAGTACCATGGGATAAAGCCCTGGAGGGAAGAGGGGCCCAAGCAAACTGGGTAATATTCAAGGATCACCTCCTCCAAGCATCACCTCCTCCAAGCTCAGGAGTGATGCATCCCAACAAAGAGGAAGTCAGGCAAAAATGCCAGGAGGCCTGCATGGATGAACGAGGAGCTCCTGCAAAAACTCAAACACAAAAAGGAAGCCTACAGAGAGTGGAAGCAAGGATGGGTAGGTAGCCTGGGAGGAATACAGAGAAATTATCTGAGCAGCCAGGGATCAGGTTAGGAAAGCTAAAGCCCTGATAGGATTAAATCTGGCCAGGGATGTCAAGGGCAGCAGGAAAAGCTTCTATAGGTACATTATGAAAAAAGGATGGCTAGGAAAAATGTGGGCCCTCTCTGGGAGGAAACGAGGGACCTGGTTACCTGGCATATGGGGAAGTCTGAAGTAATCAATGACTTTGCCTCAGTCTTCACTGGCAAGTGCTCAAGCCACACCACCCAAGTTGCAGAAGGCAACAGCAGGGACTGAGAGAATGAAGAACCACCCACTATAGGAGAAGATCAGGTTCGAGACCATCTAAGGAACCTGAAGGTGCACAAGTCCATGGGACCTGATGAGATGCACCTGTGGGTCCTGAGGGAACTGATGTATGAAGTTGCTGAGCTACTATCCATCATATTTGAGAAGCCATGGCAGTCCAGTGAAGTCCCCACTGACTGGAAAAGGGGAAACATAACACCCATTTTTTTAAAAAGGGGGAAAAAAGGAAGACCCAGGGAACTACAGGCCAGTCAGTCTCACCTCTGAGCCCGGCAATATCACAGAGCAGATCCTCCTGGAGACTATGCTAAGGCACATGGAAAATAAGAAGGTGACTGATGACAGCCCACACGGCTTCACTAAGGGCAAATAGTGCCTGACAAATCTGGTCGCCTTCTACGACAGGGTTACAGTGCTGGTGGATAAGGGAAGAGCAACAGATGTCATCCACCGGGACTTATGCAAAGCATTTGACACTGTCCCGCATGACATCTTTGTCTCTAAATTGGAGAGACATGGATTTGATGGATGGACCACTCGGTGGATAAGGAATTGGCTGGTTGGTCACACTCAAAGAGTTGCAGTCAATGGCTTGATGTCCAAGTGGAGACCAGTGAGGAGTGGCGTTCCTCAGGGGTGGTATTGGGAGCGGCGCTGTTTAACATCTT